CAAGTTTCATAATTTGAGTTTTGTTAGTGGATGAATAAAAATCCTACTGTGTACCTTACTACATGTTTATTGTCCACTCATCTTTTGATAGTAATCTGTGCTGAGTCCATTTATAATCCTTGATGTTTTGAACGGAGCAGCAGTGAGCATGGATGATCACATATCTCTGCAGTAGGATGTTAAGTCCTTTGGATCTACCTGCCGAGGAGTGGTGATGCTGAATCATTTAGTAGTTCTGTTTTTAGTTGTTTGAGAATCTTCTAATCTTAAAATAACAGCTCAATTTTAACGAAAATATTTTAGTAAAATTATTCATGCTGGATCCAACCTAGGAACACTCTGTAAATGTGTATGTGTGTGTATATATATATATATATATATATATGTGTGTGTGTGTGTGTGTGTGTGTGTGTGTGTGTGTGTGTATATGTATATATATGTATATATATATATGTATATATATATATATATATGTGTGTGTGTGTGTATATGTTTTTGTTTTACATAATTAAAAGGCAGCATGAAGCCTGGTGTGGTATCCCAGCACTTGGGAGGCAGAGGCGGTAGATTTTCATGAGTTCAAAGCCAGCCTGTTTTACAAAGTGAGACCAGGACGTCCAGGACTATTACACAGAGACGCCCTGTCTCAAAAAAACCAAAACAAAAAACAACAAAAAATGGCAGCAAGAAGCAAATTACTTTTATAATTTTATCATAAAAACAGAAAAGAGAAACATAGTTCAAAGTTTACCATTAGATTCATAGGTTCAAAATAACACATATTGCGGGAGATATTGTTTAGGTCATGTTAAACATTCTTTTTATGCCTCTTTCCCAATGAAAAATAAGAAAATGTGTTTACACCTGTTGAAAGTTTTTCCTTTCCTGCTCACAAAAATTGATGATCGGTTTTAAGATGCAGACTGTGGTTCTCAAAGCAGCAGTGTAGACTGGTCAGTGCAAGTCAATATGATACAGAAATTCAAGAAATTGCTACACGATTGGAGCCCTGCTTCTGGCCCTGTGGGATTGTTTGAGCATTTTAGCTTCTCTCAGCTTCGTTTTTTCCATGAATAAAATAGGAACCGCAATAGTAAAATAGGAATAGTGTTACCTGCCTACTGAAACTCAGAAGGTAATAATAAGAGCCATTTGAGATAAAGACGAAAAGCATAAAGCTTTACAGGATTGTCAATTTTAGTGTTGCCTGACCCCTGTAGGTGGTTGGGGCAGTGCACAGCTATGAATCTCAGTATCCAAGTGCCAGTCTAGACCATAACATCTATTAAAACGGCCATCTCATTAGCCAGCATGGGTTGGATAGATGAGGAAGCATAAGGCAAGAAGATACTTTTTAAATGCCAGCCAACATCTTGGGATGATGAACAGTACTGTCTCAGTCTAGTGGAACTGTGGCACAGTTGGACAGTACTTTTTCAGGGGCTCCCCAGGAATGAGAAAGCCAGCGGAATCGCACAACAGCCTCAGCTTTCTCACAGTAGGACCTAGTGCACTGCCTCCATATCTGTTTGACCCTTCCATTCTTTAGTGCTCTCACGGGAAAGAAAAGGCCCCTTTGTCTCAGTAAACATCTTTTCTGATATGTTGGGACAATGTTGTGCACTGTGTAAAGGCTGTCTTTGTATAATTCAAGTGATGGTTTCTGTACCAGATCTGAGTACAGGCTGGACTTTGGTATTGTTATTTCATAAGCATCACTTGTCTCAGTGTTTTGTAAACACACTTCCCTTTTCTTCTGATTGGTTTAATAAAGAGCTGATGGAGAGGATGGGTGGGACATCCCAGCAGAGCTGGAACTCTGGGGAAGAATTGAGAGGTGCAGGATTCACCAGCCAGACACTAGAAAAGAACGTGCTGGGACAGAGAGACTGGGATGTGGACTAGAATAACTGGTTAGTTAAGTTCTAAGAGCTAGTTGGGAAAAAGCCTAAGCTAAGGCTTGTATAAATAATATAAGTCTCTGTGTCATTATTCCATTGCTGGTGGTCCGAAGAAAATGCCGTTATACTGATGCATATGAATCCCTTTGATTATTTCTAAGGATTTTTAAAAATTGAATTATGTGTATAGACATGTATGCAGGAGATGCTTTTTAAGGTCACAGGACATAGGATCCCCTGGAGCTGGAGTAAGAGGATGTTGAGAGCACCAAATGCAGGTTCTAGGAACTGACTTCAGGTCCTCCGCAATAGCACTGTGAATCCTTCGTGGTCATGCTGTCTCTCCAGCCCCCAGATCTTGGTTTTAGAATATCAAGGAATCAACACACTTTCTCCAGCCCATTTCAGTTGACTTCCAGCCAGTCTTGAGTTTGGAAGTAAGTATGAAAACCGTATGCCCTTAGTAAAAGGAAGGCTCCATCCTCAGTACCAGAAAATAAAATCACCCAGAAGTAGTGATATGTTTCTAACTTCTAAATGGAACATTTTTATGTAAATTTCTTTCACAATCTCAAAGTTAGTTCAACTGAACATAAGTTGATCATCTTATTAAACTGGCCTCTCCATTTTATCCTACTGCTTCTATTTGTGGCCTCATTGTGTTTTTCTTTTTTGGGGAGGAGGGTGTTAAGGGCAAGTTAATAAATAAGCCAGTCTTTGATGTAGTGCAAAAGCAGCCGTAGACATTATGAACATTTAACATGACCATTTTCCAATATAACTGTGTTTATAAACCAGCCCTGGGCTTTGGCCCAGAGCAATTGGATACCAACCTTAGAGTCCCCAAATGAAATTGTTGCGGTCTGTCTTCACTGTCTTCCTTTAAGTTAGGATCTAAGCAGCTCTCAGGTTACAAGTATTCCACTCAGTAACACACACACACACACACACACACACACACACACACACCTTGCTTCTGTCACTCTCACTGCCCTTCCCACTCCCACCAGGTAACTAACTTTATTCTGTCCTTCACCTTGGCATAGCTGTTTTGAGATTTACTCATACAGCACAGCCAGTCCTTTTTCATCGTTGTAGTATTTCTCTGTACAGCTGTACTAGGATTTTCCGAGCTGTTTTCTTATTGTTGTTGTTGTCATCTTGACACAAGCTGAGATCACCTAGGAAGAGGGAACATCCTTTGAGAAAATGCCCCCACATCAGATTGGTCTGTTGGCAAGTCTGTAGGATATTTTCTTAATGATAAATGTGGGAAGGCCAAATGAGTGTGGGTGGTGCCACCAATGAGAAAGTGGTTCTGGGCTGTGTAAGAAAGTGGTCTAAAGAAGTGATGGAGAGCAAACTAGCAAGCAGCACTCCTCGTGGTCTCTGCTTCAGTTCCTGTCTCTAGGCACCTGTTTGAGTCTCTGCCTGTACTCTCCTCAGTGACGGACTGTGAGGTAGAAGTTGTGAGCTATTTGGTCATGGTGTTTATTATAGCAACAGAGCAAACTAATACAGGGTCTCATGGAGCAGATGATAGCCTTGAGCTGACATTGTAGCAGAAGACGACTGTGACCTCCTCATCCCCTATCCTCCCCCTCCCATGTGCTGGGATTACCGGCACATGCCTCCACACTTGGCTTATTTTATTTTGAGCACAAAGAAAAGTGTTTCTTTTCTTCTGACTACCTTTAAGATTTTTCTTTTTCATGGTTTTGGTTATGATGTGCCTCCATGTATTTTCTTTGTTTTTCTGTGTTTAGTGCTCACTGGCTTTGCACTTTTCTCAGTTTGGAAAAAGTTCAACCATGAATTGTACACAACTCCTCCCATCTGCTTGACTTTTTAAAGACCTAAATTGCATACATATGGAGCAAGTTGCTTTTGCCTCGCAGCTCAATCACTGAGATTTTCTTTCCAATAGTTTCTCTTCTTTTCTTCTACAGTGTCTACTGTGTTATCCATGTAGAATCCTATGTAGAAGAGTTTCCTCTCACATATTACGTATCTCCAAGTTCAATTGGAATATTTTGAAAAAATTCATGGAATGCAGCTATAATAACTGTTCAGTGTCTTTTTCTGTTAATTCAACATCTATACTAATTTAGGGTCAGTTTTAGTTAAATGCTCTCATCATGAGCCTTTGTTTCCTGAATCATTATTTGTCAGGTAGATCTAAGCATTGTTCAGTCTGGGATTAATTATTCACTATTACTGAGGAAAAAACACCTAACCGAGTACTTTGCCCAATACCTTATTTTCTTGTTTAATTTTTGGGAACAGACAGTGCCAGAATGGTACTTGGCACATTCTTCTTTATGTTGTAGAAGGCTCCTTCTTGCTCACTGAGTGACATCTCTCCCATATCTGAGGGGCTGCTCTGTTAATCTCAGCCCTCTCCCTGTCAGCATTCTCCTTCTCAGTAAACTGACTCCCAGGCTCTCAGTTCTCTTCCAACTCAGAGTCCACCAGTAACTCCTTGGTTCCTTCCCCCTTGCCCTATGTCCTGGAAACAACTCTAAATGAGGGCAAGCGGGGTCTTGGTTTATTTGCTTTTTCAATCTCTCAGAAATCAGTGTCTTATTCCAGGATCCTGTCTTTTAAACTTTTTTTTTAACGTCTGTCTTCTCTTATGTGCCTGAGAATTTCGTAGTTGTGGTCTATTTTGTTTCATTTTGTTTTGTTTCTGTTGTTGTTATTTTAGGCAGTAGGATAAATTACTCTATTTTATCCAGATTAAAAGATTAGCAGCAGTCACTTACTGTCTGCTTTCAGATCAGTTGGAGTTCAGTTGATTCAATCTATCCTCATCTCAGTATAGTTTCATTGGGAATTGTTTGGACTCATGTACTTTCTGTTGAGATATTTGTGCTTGGTTTAGCTAGTGCAGGAAATAAGCCCGAAACTTTAAAAAGAACTCAGCACCAGCCACATGCCCTTTTGAGATAAAATGTTTTTAATATTAAAGAAGTCATAGGCATAATGTTGGCATTGTCATAGGTGTTAACCTAGAGTTCTGGAGAAAAGAATGTGAATTTTTTTTAAGTGACTCTGAAAACGCTCATTTAACACTTTTCTTTTTCATTTGACAACTAGAGGACAATGTGTATGAGAATATGCAAGAATCACAGGAAATCCAAATGTCCAACCATCTTGACGAAGTCATTGCTGCTGTCAGTGTCACTTCTAAAAAGAAGATCCCAAACAAGCTACTTCAGACAGCACTGTTCCAGCCCCCTCGAGAGAAACTTCGCCTGTGCGAAGAGAGAGCCAAGTCCTACTCCAGCAGCCATGAGGTAAGGAGCCCTAAGGTCATACACCTGCTCCCTGAGAACTGAGCTATCACCCCAAGCGCGAGAAGCAAAATAGATGAAACTAAATTTCCAACCTCAGGCGTGAGATGCAAGAGTCCTTAAGAGAGAACCTACCTTCTAGCATGACTTGTGGACCATCCTACTAAACCCAGTGGTTGTCATGCCAACAGAAGATGCTTATTGAGTATGGCGGTTAGCCTTCATTGTCAACGTGACTGGATTCAGAATCATCAGGAGACTGGGGGACCATACCTGAGTATGTCTGTGAGGACATTTTCAGAGAGGGGTGACTGAAGGTTAAAGACCACCCTGCCTGGGCACCAAGGGTACATCCCCACCAGGTTCAGGCTCTGCTGAAATGAAGGAAGAGAAAGCAAGGACCTTCTCGAGGACCAGCACTTCTCTTTGCTCCCTGGCTGTTGTAATGCCCCGCTCCACCACACTCTCTTTGTCATGATGGACTGAGCCCTCAGAAACCCTGAGCTAAGGCAAACTCCTTCTTTAAGTTCTTTCTGTTGGGTATTTTGGTCACAGTGACAAAGAGATTGGTTTTTAGCACATGCCAGATGACAGTGGGTTACAGCACACACCACAGGAAACCTCTGCTTGCGTATAGCTCTTCATCCTGAGGCTTTTACCTGTCTCACTCTGTGCATCTTCCTTCCCATCCCCCTCACAAACGTTGCTCAGTCACTCTTTCCTTCTCATGCGCCAGGCCCTGTTTATCCTTTCCTTTTTTGCAAATCTCCACTGTATGCCTGATGTTTTCCTAGTGTTGTGAAATACCAGAGGCACATAGAGGAAGGCCACAACCTCTGTCCTAGGGGGACTTTGGGTTGGATTGAGATGCCAGAAGGACAGTCAAATAATGACAGTGGCTATGATAAGTGCTGTAGCAGGGTCACTCAGTATCCATACAAATCAGGAAAGTGGGGAAGGACGCAACAAAAGCTCAGCTCCTGGGATGGGAGGTGACCAAGCTGCACTAGAGGCAGCGCTTAGAAGTTGTACAGGCAAGGGAGAGGACAGAAGCCTCCAGGACAAAAGTGGTAGGTGGGTAAGTGCCAAAGACCTGAGGGAGCACAGTCTCTGCAGATCCATAAGGAATGCTGGAGCAAAGGTGACCCAGTGAGAAGAGAGCTGCACCGTGCCCGGAAGCTGGACCCTGAGATACACTCGCTGTACATAACTGGTTTTGACTTGACACTCTCTTAAAGGCACCGGAGGGGCTTCTTAGGACCATCAGCAGGAAGAGGCCACGAACAAATCTGAATTAGAAGAATGCTCACTCCCATGGCTATTCATTGGCTGGATGAGAAATGAATAAAAGTAGAAGAATGGGTTAGGCTAAGGGGATATTTGTAGCAGTCTTGGAAAGGTAGTATGAAGAACTGAACTAGGTAAGGCGGAGGCAACAGAGATGCTGGAGAATTAATACATCATGTAAAGCATGAACTACCTGCCCTCCTGTGTCTGGAATAGTCCAAAGCATTTCTTGGGTCTGTAGTTGCAGTTAGGATACTTAAAATATGACAGGGAGCCCGATGGGGCTGAGGGGTGACTGCTTGTAAATAAGCCAGAGTTGTTGACTGGGATGTGTGTTAATGGGCAAATAGAGTGGGTCCATCTGGGGCTGGGAGGGCACTGGAAGAGTGTGGCCAGTGAGCTGAGGACTAAGGCAGGAGAGAAACTAGCAGAAGGAAGGAAGGCCTAGGGAGAAGAGACAGCACATGGAAATCTTCAGGGTAGGCTTGAGTGTGCCATGTCTGTAGGGAAGGGAGGGAGCCATGGCTCACGTGGTTAGAGAAGCTATCAGTTCATTGAGGAGCAACAAGACCACAACATTTTATTGAGTTCCACCTGGTATAACTTGCTTTGAAAAATATCCATTTATGTGTAATTTTTAATTTTAAAATGAGTTCAGACTTACAGAAAAATTATGGCTCAACAGTAGTTAGCATTTGTTCTATTAATTTATTCATTTGCTTATTGTGCCACTGAGGCACATTCCAGTTACTCACTTATATCTTTTGTTTCATTCTGTCTCACTCCTTTTTTCCCTTACTATCATTACTTTTTTCAGGTATCTGAGAACAGGTTATAGATATTATATATTATATATAAATATTATATATATATATAATTTAACTATATATTACATATAAAATATAATTTATTTTCCTTAAGAATAAGAATATTCTCTCACATAACCATAGCATAGTGATTGAAATTATGAAACTAATATTTGTTTGTTAAAAAAAAACCCAAAACAAAAAACAGATCCATGGATAGATGAGTCCACACTGAGCCTAGATTCAGCATCTCTTTAGTCTTCCTCAGTCTGCTGCAAGCTCCTAGCCATCTTTGTCTTTCCTGCTCTTGATATTTTGAATCATATATTCCAACTGTGTTATAGAATATGTCTTCCCTTGAGTTTGTGTTATGTTTCCCATAGGCAGGTCTTCCCATCTCAGCTAGTGCAATCAAGATGATGCCCCCACAGACATGCCCATAGGCCAAACTCCTGGTGATCCTGTCTTCTTTGAGGTCAGCAATTAGTGCTAACCATCAGCAGCGCTGGCAACCGGCCCCTCCCACATCGTCTCCACATGGAGCTACCTCAGCTTGCTTACAGCCTAGTGCTTGGTGCCGTGTTAGTGTGTAAGGGCTGTCATAACTAGATGCTCCTCACTGGGGAACTTAAATAGCAGGTTTCCCTGCAGTTAGAAGTCCAAGACTGGCTTTATTCTGGGGCCTCTTTCCTTGGCTTGCTGATGGCTGTGCGCTTGTGTCCTGACATGGTCATTGTGCACTTGGAGGCCTGGCTCTCTCTTCCTCTTCTGGGAGTCATAGAGAACTAAGGCTTGTCCTAGGAGCCTCATTTTATCTTAAGGTTTTTGGGATTTATTATTATTATTATTATTATTATTATTATTATTATTATTATTATTATTATTATTATTATTTGTGTGTATGTCCCTGGAGAGCAGAAGAGGGCATTGGGTTTCCTGGGGCTGTAGTTACTGGCGGTTGTGAGCCACTTAACCTAAGTTGTCTGTAAGTCACATACTTGAGGATGCACTGTTAACCTTTGAGCCATCTCCCTAGTTCCAAGAACCTCATTTTAACTTAATTCTCCTAAAAGGCCTTATCTACAAATACAGCTGCACTCTGGTTTGCAGAAAGTTAGTACTTAAGAACTTTGAGGGAAGCCAGACATGGTGGCACACACCTTTAATCCCAGCACTCAGGAGACAGAGGTAAGCGGATCTTTGTAAGTTTGAGGCCAGCCTGGTCTACAGTGTGAGTTCCAGGACAGTCAAGGCTACACAGAGAACCTGTCTTGAAAAAAATCTGTTCAGGTTCTAAGAGTGACACCAGGAAGAAACGAAGTGGAAGCTACTAACTCCTGAAACTGTGAGGCTGGAATCTGGCATTGCCTACTTTGCTCCATGATTGTTTGGCCAGGCAGTCATGAAGCACAGGTTCAAAGAGAAGGAGAGACAGGCCCCATCTCCATCCTAAGGTATGAAACAAGTTTTAGAGCTTTGTTTGAAGGTGCCTAGGCTTGCCTTGAGTGTGTCGTTGCCCTTGTGGACGTGGCACTGGGAACTATGGCTTCCTCTTTGTCCTGACCCTGACAGCAAACATGCTCCTCACTACTTAAGACCAGGCTGGGCTAAATAACCAGGTTAAAGGACAGCTTGGGACAGGTAATGAATCGCAGTCTGCAGAGAAGAAACAAAAGATTCTTTCTCCTCTGGCTTCCTACCTGTCAGGCTTACTGACCTCATCCTTTCTGCTAATAGAAGACATGTGTTGCTTCTTGATTTCTGTGGCAAAAGTGACCTGAAGGGAAGAGAGGTTTTGGGTCACAGCTTGAGGGTGCAATAGCACCCTGGCAACAGGAAACTGGACCGGTTGATGATACTGCATCCCGTCAGGAAGAAAAGAGAGAGAAATGAGAAACACTGGCACTTCTCTTGCCTTATCCTTTTTGTTCAGTCTAGAATCCCAGCCCACGGGACGGTGCTGCCCACATTTCAGAGTGAATCTTCAGGTAAAACATGCCCAGAGGTGTGTCTCACAGGTGATTCTAGATCCTGCCAAAGTGACAATATTAACCATCCCAGCTGCAAAGGAGTTTCAAGTTAGAGCTAAAGTGTGTTGTTTGACAGCCACCACCACTTTCCAACTGAAGGTTAGCTGGAAAAGTTAGGAGGCGACCAAATGTCTGTTCTAACCTGCCTATTTTTTCTTTATCCCCTCCACGTTTTCCACCATTAAATTGTCTTTACTCGTAAATGAATTGTTTATTTCATCCAACCCGCTGAGTACTGTACCACCCCGAAAGGTCATTGTTTGATTGTGCGACACATCCCAGTTGCTTAGTATGTAGTAACCACTCAGTAAATACTCACTGGGTGGCTTTATGTACAGGCAGGCCTTAGGCCTTGTGAGTCTTTGGTCCTAAGCTGCCTACCTGGTAAACTCATTTTGTTTTTCTGACAGTACAAACAGGCCATCCAGGAGCTTGTGCGCTGTGTGGCACTAACCAGGATTTGCTACGGCGACTCGCATTGCAAACTGGCAGAGGCATATGTTAATCTGTCTCAAGGCTACCTCCAGATGAAAGGTGAGCTTCTCAGGCCGGGAGGATGAGCTCATCAGCTGACGGGTTTCTGCGCTCCCTCTCCCCGAACTGATTCACACCCTAGGGATCAGGTTTTCAAGGCTCTCCTTTCTAAGTCCTAGGAAGAGTCAAAATGGTATATATTATATAGTTGTCAACAGGAAGAAAGGAAGATTGTGATGTGGGTGTGGATGCTCTTTGTAGAGTTCTTACAGGACAATCTGCTGGACCAAAAGGTGGCAGGAAAGAAGCCAAGACACAGAATGGAGGCTTAGAGTGGATCCATTAAGAGAGAGAGAGAGTCATGCTTGAGTGCAAGTAGCTAAAAAAATGAAAGGCTAACCCAAGCTGGCTCTAGCTAGTAGAACTTAAAAATCCAAGGTGAAATTTGCTTTAGACAGCCATAGCTGGTGTTCCAACTGTGTGGCCAGGATTCCGCCTTTCTCTTTTCATATTACTTGGGTCTGTTTGTATTGGCATTAGCTCCATTCTTATCCAGGCTTCGCCCATAAGACCACCAGCAACTTGAGGTTTCCTTGCTAAGAATGACCAAGAGAAAAAAAGAATGTCCCACCTACCAGATCATGCCAGGATTTTCTAGGCACTGCATTTAGACCATATTGGAGTATGTACGGAAGTGAAGGCATAGGTCAATAGGTGAGACCTGGCTTTTGGTTCTCCTGTGTACTGGGGAAGATACTGGTGTTGGCCACCGTAGGATGTGCAGGTGGTGATGGATGCAGGAAGGTACAGAAAGCTGGTACTCATGAGGTGCTGTTTCCCACTTGCTGACTCACAAGCTGTGCCACAGCACCCCTCTACACTCAGATAATCAGCTGAAGAGCAATGCTAGCATGTTGGTGTCACAAAACTCCCAGGGTCCAGTGAGTGCTATTACAACCAGAATGCACCAAAAGACCAGACCATTCCTACCTGTTAGTCAAAGGCCATCAGAGCCGGAGGCAGTGGTGGTAGGGGAAGAGGAAATCCGAGATCATTTAGATTCATATTTTCTAGATTCAGAGAAAGTGAATCTGAGTTGAAACTACTTGCAACAAAATCACATTGCTAGTACATTGCTGATCTGAGGCTCTGACCTAGGGATCACAGGTCAGTACCAGTGTCCTGCCATCCGGGGTTTCAAATCCTGCCTTCCTTCTGTAGCCTACCGTCTTCTTCGTGGATCTTCCTCTCTCAAGTTAAAATCACAGCAGTATTCACTATTCAGAAGGCCTCACTGAGGGCCAGACATCATGCTAATTGCCATACAAAACCTATTCAGACTTCAGGTCTACCTGTGGGGGAGAGTACTCTTACTACTACTTTTCACAGTCAAGGTAGCTGAGGCCAGTTTCTTAGTGAGTAATGGAGCAGAGGATTCATGCTGGGCACTCTCACTTCAGAGCCCATGCTCTTGAAACTGAAGCTGTGCTGTCTCCCGTAGATTAAGTTCAAGTTCAAAGGGAAGGGGTTGCAACTGGAAACCTAGTTCATCACTGTCGGTGGGTCCTACAGACAATTAACACTAATAAATCCTTGACACCCTGGTTAAGGCTGTGCCTTTAAAATATAAGACACACAGAATTCTGAAAGAGTTCCTACACAAAGAACAGAGGCTTGCTTCTCTCCATTAGAAAGTATATTGTTTCTGTTTCATAGACACAGGAATGGAACTAACCTCATATTGTGATAGCCATTGAAGGGAACTGAGATATGATTAAATATAATTCAGAACATAGGGCTGGAGATGTGTGAATATGAGTGGAAGAGGGTGTCATCGTGGGGGCGGAGGGTGGGAGTGTGTGAGGAGGGTACAAAATATAGACTTCCTAGCTGGTGTTCCTCAGTGTCACCCCTCCCACAGATTAATCAACCCCTAGAAGAACGCTGGAACACAGAGAGAAAAGCATCCCCAGTAATAACAATTATTAACTCTGTCTCCTGTTAGTCTACTGCTGTACAGGAAGAAGAGATTACACCACAGTAGTCCATTACCCCCTCAGGGCTGAGTTGACATGAGCATTTATAGAGACTGTATTTGTGTTGCGCTGAAAGAACACTAACATTATGATTCTAAATAGGTGCGCAGAAGATTCAGAATTTTTAGTATTTCATTTAGATTGCTGTCACTCAGCCAGGATTACAATTCCTCAGTATCTTAATTCCTACCCAGAATGCTGTAGTCTGTGCATTCCATTTGTGTTTTGATAATTATTTGTATTTTACACCGGATGCTGGTGATGTTTTGGAGCTGTTCAGTTCCAACTCGTTCTGCTTATTTTATTTTTAAAAAGGCGGTTTGGGGAAATGTTTTTCATCTTGACTACTTGATATAAAACATTTTTTTAGTTGTTGTAGCCAGGGTACTGTTTCCTTCTTCCAAGATCTATGTCTGTGTGCTCCTGGACGACATGTGGTGCCCTTGCCAGGCTTCCCAGCCGTGCAGACTCCTGTTCCTGCCCAGCTGCAATTAAAGAGAAACTCACACTTCTTTTTCTCTCTCCATAGGTTTGTCACTACAAGCAAAGCAACATGCAGAAAAAGCCAAGGAAATCTTGGCCAATGCCATTGAGAGTCCCTATCACAACAATGCGGATGTCTTCAGGTGTTCCATAGAGCTTTTCTATACCCTGGGGAGAGCCCTCCTTGCCCTTCAAAAGTATCCTTTTGCCTCTAATCTTCACGAACAGAAAGCACTGGTGCTGCAATTCATATAGCTAATTCTCAGAGCCAAGCAGAGAGTTGCTAGGTGATTCAGGGGTAATAGGAATTATTACATGAGAAAAGAAAGTCCAGGATATAGGGTCGCGGAATCTAGAAATAGACAGGGCTTTTCCTGAACATATTTCAGATTTAAAGAAGCCTCGGAGAACTTGATAAAAGCAGAGAAACTTGCCAAGGAGATGCTGCAATGTGGAAAAATCATAAAGGAAGAGTGGATAGAAATCCAAGCTCGGCTCAAGTTGTCATTTGCACAGTAAGTCTCTGGAGGCTCTTTGACTGTGACCTTGGCTTCTCCCAAGGTCATTGCACAGCAACCAAGAGCAACACTGTCATATCAGAGCAGCCCAATCAAACACCAGTGACACTTGTCCCTTGATGTGGACTACACTCACATCCCCAACCCCCACCCCACCATATGGCCACAGAGGTTCTCACATCATTCCCCTGACTTACTTTTTGCCTGCTGTGCCCAGCTCCACTGCTCCTTCATCCTTCTCCCTCCCTTCTCTTCCCCTTCCACAGCATCGTTGCCATTCATCCCAGGGAGCTTCCCTGATATAGCAGGGGAGTTGTTCTGAGGTTCTGCCCCTGGGATGGGACTCCTGGTTCACAGGATAGCAGCATTCTACATGTCCACTCAGCACTGACCCATTGCTATGCACAGTGCTCTGCCTCTTGCAGGACGAATGGCAGTCTTATCTTATTTGTGGCCCCAACAGTATTTGGCACTGTGGCTCTTTCTAAATTGCTGTCCTGAGGTATGTAACATGCTACCCAGTTACCGTTAAGTTTCATTTGCTTTCCTTATTGAATTAAGGAAATTCATACATACAATCTGCATACTTGTGAAACATTTAGAAGTCTCCTTCAACACACAGCCTGTTAGGTTCTATCTTACTTTTCTTTTGGAGTTCTCTGTCCTTTTCATACTAATAATTGAGATTTTCCTTATATGTTATAAGTGTGGATTATGTTTTATATATTTTCTTATACCTATCACCCTTCATTTTGTCTATGGTATTCTTCATAACATAGAAATTCATTTTACCAGAGTCAAATTCATTCATTTTTTTTCTTATGATTTATACTGTGGGATTTTGTTTAGAAAATATTTCCCACTCATATTTCGAAGTGTCTCCATAATTTCTCTACCTCTTATGTTTTAAGACTTAAAAAAAAAAAAAGTATGTATATGTGTTTTGCACATGAGTGCAGTGCCTGAGGAGGCCAGAAGGGGGTGTCAGATTCATGGTCCTAGAGTTAAGGTGGTTGCGATCTATCTGATGTGGGTGCTGGGAATGAAGCTGGGGTCCTCTGCAGGAGCAGTAACCGCCACTAAGCTGTGAAGCACTTCTCCAGCATGGAGTTTTCACTCAGTGCACTTAGTATTTCACATCTTAGTTTAGAAACTTCATTTTGCTCCAGAGCTTATTCACATGAGGGGTTTTGGTCTGTGCATGTATGTGATTTTCTGAGCTCTTCCAGCATTGACTGATTTTCCGGCTGTGGCATCATGGGTGGAAACACATCTGCCCAAGTGCCTGTGAGACTGATGTGTTTTCTTTTGTGAGCTGCGCCACCCTCAGCCTTTATGAATGTTCCCAATGGCACAGAAGAAAGTGTGCTCTTCATTCTGTGTGTTTGATGACCTAATGAGTCTCAATAATACAGATTATATTCAGTTTACTAACTTCAGATATTCAGATGTACATCTTAATTTGGGGGCGGGGGTCCAAAACAGCTTCAGCTTCGAGTGTCCTAGAACTCACTCTGTAAACCATGCTGTCCTCGAACTCAGAGATCCACCTGCCTCTGCCTCCCAGAGTAGTGGGAATAAAGGTGTGCACCATCACGTCAGACACATCTTAAGTTTTTGTCAAGTTGGTAGATTAGTATTTAAATGAACGCATTTAGACCCCCAGGTATAATCTCTGTCTGTCTACATTGTGTGGTTTGCCATTGTGATGTATGTCCTGAGGTTGTTTTGCTGAAGGGGGGAAGAGTCAGCCACAACATTTTCCCTTAATCTTCCATTCTTGTAATCATGGTATTTCTCTCTCTCTCTCTCTCTCTCTCTCTCTCTCTCTCTCCTGTCCTAGTTTTGTTTGTGTTGTTGTGATGAAGTCCCCTGACTAAAAGCAACAAGGAGGCTTACTTGGCCTACAATTCATTTCAGGTTACAATCCATTCGTGTGGAAGTCAAGGCAGAAACTCAAAACATCACCACCACAGTCAAACACAGAGAGATGGCGATGTACCAGATGCCCAGAACGCTCTGAAAAGTGTTCAGCTTCATCAGGCCTCATGGAAATGGGATCCTAAAAAGTACAATGATGTCACAGTCCCACTAAAAGACCTAAACCTTTTGAAAAGATTGTTAGTGCCAAGTGTTGGCAAGGATGTGGTACTCAAAGATGCCCTCTCCCACATAGCCGCTTGGACCAGTTTGATAGAACTCTTTAGAAGACCATTTGGCATCATCTCCTAAATCTGAACAGTTTCACATTTGTTGACCCAACAGTACCACTGTAATATACACTCAGCATAAATCTTTGCATGTTTATTCACCAAAACATACATCCAAGTATGCTCCTAGTCCCCTTGCCCAAATCTCAGAAATCTGTGGTCTGTTCACATAAAAAGGCAATCAATTATCAAGCTTCTTGTTAGATAACATCATGTCTGACTCTCAAAAACACAGTATTCGGTAAAAGAAACCAGACCCCAAATATTCAAACTGTCTGGTCCCATTCACAGGACTGGAGAGGGACAACCATTTGTTGGTTAGCTGGAGGGCTAACCCACACAGAATCTCTTCCTGCTAGGAGGGGGTGCTTTCCTCTTCCTCTGTACAGGAGGCATACATATCCGAGGCCCAAGATCTAATAGCAGTTGCATCTGTTGAAACCTGACCAATGTGTCAGTTCTTAATGTTGAGCCCTGTTGCTACAAAACACTCAAGTAGCCTCTGCCAGAATCTGGCACCATCTTAAGAGTGCTTGCCAAATCGCAATACCAAACCTTGACAGCAGGTGGCGAGCTTTGCCCACATGTATGTCTGATAACCTCAAGAATTTAAAGTTCCAGTTAAAACTCTGTGGAGATAGCTTTGGGTATAAAAGAGTTGTTTTCAATGTTGCCACATCCTTCTGTTCTGATTCTCCTCTCTGACATTTCCATAGAACTGGAAGGCTTAAAATGTGTGGTTTTCATTTAATCTCTTTGCTTTGTGTTCTCATGGAAATATGAATATTTTGTCTAAGCGGACTTGCTTTAGAAAGAAAAAAGGCTTTGGCTTTGGACTTGTCTGTAGTTAAACTTGAACTGTGTGGTGTTTTCTTTCATGAGTCTTGGGAATGGAAGGCCAGGGGAAGGTCTCAGGCAGCTTTTGGATTTCTGCCCCTCTTAAAAGGACATCTCTTATGTCCTCTCCTCCTGCTTCTCCTTTTATGGTGCCTACTAGACGGGCCCGACACAGATAGTTAGGGCTGCAAAGTGACTCATGCTCAGGCTTCCACCGTTCAGGAGGCCTGGAGTGTCTTCCCTCCATGCCCACCCCCTCCTCTGTCACAGTACTACCGAATTCAGTTAATGACTTACCAACTTGTCAAACTGTTCCTGAGCTGTTTCCATTGCAAAGTCACCAGCAAAAATTGGAAAACTTTCTGTCAGTGCTCAGCATTGTGTTCTGTTCTGGAAACTTGCACATAGATCCCAGAGGTGGTTAGTTATCTTTATATACACAGGTGCACATACATGCATGCACACACACACACACACACACACGTGCACGCATGGGGGGGGGGAGAAAGAGAGTACTGGTCCGGATGTTTTAAATAACAAGGCGCTGGTGATGATATACGGACGGTCTGTTGTTGCTCCAGAGCATGTGCTCTTGTCCCTGACTTTCTTTGTGACCATATGATATCATGTTTGGAGTTTTCTCCAGCTTGCCTCATGAGTACCCCGCCTCACCCTGCTGTGCCCCAGAATGAGCAAACACTTTTTTACCCCCGAGCATACAGAGGACCACCTGCCAAGTGTTTGTATGCAGTGTGGCATGATGGGATGAAAGCTGTGGACTGTGAGTCAGTGCCCTGGCTTTAAGTCAGGGTTCATTCAGACCACCCCACAGGGAGAGTGTGGACAAACCCCCTGCTTCCTACTTCACTCTCCTCCCAAGCCAGTATACAAAGTACAGGCCCTCAGAGCACATGCTGTGAGGACTAAATGGGCACTAGATTAAAGCATCTAAGCACATGGTAGTCCTTCAAAAACGGGAAGAACAGGAAAAAAGAGGAGAGAACAGAGGAAGAAGGAAGATAAAAGACAGGGGAGTAAAAGCCACATTAGCTGCCAATTACTGATCACCTTCTGTTCCAGGCTCATGAATACATTGTTCATGTCGCCCTCAGTCCTTACTACAAGGTGGATACTCTTATATTCCCATTTGCAAAGACAGAGAAGCAGCATGGGGAAATAAGTAGCCAGACAGAGCCTGCTCTCTCTCTTCTCTCGGTCTCTCTCTCTCTTTCTCTTTGAAACAGGGCCTCACTATGTAGCTCTGGCTGTCCTGGAACTTACTACATAGACCAGTCTGGCCAGGAACTCACAGAGATCCACCTCCCACCTCCACCTCAATGGAGCAATCCCAATCTCAGTCATCAGGATATTCAACAGTCCAGGTAACCAGCAACAGCAAGCAGCAAGCCGCAGCTTTCCTCCTCTGACTGTCTCCTCCCTCTTGAAGCCTCCTCTCTCTCTCTCTCTCTCTCTCTCTCCTCCCTCCCTTTCTCTCTCTCTCTCTCTCCCTCTCTCAGAGCATCCCTCACAGTGTTCTTGATGCGTTCTCCTTTTCTTCTCAGTGCTCTGGTATTTATACCCTCTCCAAGCCCTAAGAATTAAACTATCTGCGGCTGGCAAATACCATGTCCCTCTTCCAGCCAAGCCGCATGAGGCAGTTATCAGCTGTGGACAAACTAAAGGCAGCCCCATATCCCACACTTAGAATTAAAACCAAAACGTATCACAACAGATCTCCACTACACTGAAGTGGGTGTGTTTTCCATTTGCCTTTTCTTTTATGTGAATGCTGCCCTCTGCCGGAGTGTCAGAAGGCTCTGTGTGTTGGTCAGCATGATAGCCCCATTCCTCCTGTGTTAAGTGGCAAGACCTTGTAAGAGCAGGCACCATTGACTTTGCAGGGTGACAAAATGCTTCTTCCTGTTACACACTGTCCAACAGAGTGTTGTCCTTGTTTCTTTAATAAATTATTTAAAGCACATGTGACCAAGCCCACAAAATAGGAAAAAAAAATCGTATAAATGGAAACCTGTAAGGCATTTTCCCCATGCAGTTTTCTTCTCTTCATTATAGGCAATTATCATATTAAGCTGAACATTTTTTTCATTCCTTTACTGTGTATGTGTGTAGCCAAATACACGTGCGCGCGCGCGTGCGTGCATACACACACACACACACACACACACACACACACACACACACACCTTTTTCTATTCTACACTCTGCATTTAATTTCATTCTGTAGCTTGCTTTTTTCCCCTGGTAGCATGCCCCATATATTTTTGAGATGTATCCCCGTCAGTTGTTCTAATCTCTTTATTTTGGGTGATTTTCCTTTGCTTTTTGCTTGACTTAGACCTGTGCTTGTGAGAATAGACATGTGACTTGTTTCCAGTTTCTCTACTGTGAGCACAATTTACATGATCATCATGTGTGCCATCACGCCTGGATTAGCCACTTCTTTCTACGGGGCTGTTTGCATTTCAAATAATTCTGCAGACTTTCTTCATGTCTCTGGCACCATCTTTTGCTAATGTCAGGCATTCTTCGTGCATACTCTGCAGTTGGGCCTTTCCACCCTCTTTGTGCTGTCCTGGAGCCCACGAGCTATACTTGGTTTTATTATTACTATTTGTGTGAGAGGCCGGGAGTCAAATCCAGGGCCTTGTGAATGCTGGACAAGTGCTATCACTGAGCAGCATCCCGAGTGCTAGAGTTTTGGTTTTTACTGTGACCAGTTCACCTGCCTTTTCTAGTCTAACTTTTGTCTCATAGAAGAAGCACCTCCCTCCCCAAAGGTGCAAGGTTACTGTCCCTGTGTTTTCTCTCACAGATCAAAATCGTGCTCTGTAAATTTAGGTTTATGATTCATGTGGCTTTTTTGTGTGCATAGTTTCAGGGCTTTTGTTTCACATAGTTTTAAATGATGTTCTCTCATCTTTTCTTACTTTTGATGATGAATATGTGTCATTCTCACAATAACGCTTCGATTTTTTAGTTCCGTTGGATTTGTAAAATCTTCTGGCTCACTTACACACTACTTTCAATCACTTTGGACTGATCTCTTCAATCCTGCTGTCTTTCTGCTTATGATGAGAAGGGATCTGGAGCTGAGCCCATTTCTCCACAAGGACAGCCTGAGGCTGTTGCCTGTGGCAGGCATGTGGGTAACAGGGAGAGGGAATACAGGATCTGATTGTTGGTGGTAGGCTTCCGGGGTGTACCCCATGCTCCCCACAATCTGAATGGACAGGTCCAGATGAGGAAATCTCAGAACTCTATATATTTGCTCCAACCACGTATGTACTTTCTGCTCCTGGTGCAGAGCCTGCGCTGATGCTCCCCCCTCAGCCTTTTCATAACTCTTTCTATAACGTTTCCTCTGAGGGGCACATATCAGAAGGGCAGTTTTCTAAAACCAGGTAATGCGCTGATGCAGGTCACAGCAGGTTGTTTGTTGGGGCACCGTTGCAAACCTGTCTCGGGAAGGAAGGTGTGTGAGCTCAGTTAACATAGACATACTTTTTCATCGTCTCACGTATTTTCTCACTCAAAAACTTTGCTTTTGGCTTTCTTGGAAAGGATTTGCCCAGATGCACTCATCTTGACACCCGTGTTTCTCTGTTCTGTGACTTTTACAGGAGTCTTGGAAGCAGAGGATATCTGCTTTCTGTACTAGATAGACTCAGTCATTTCTGATCATAATAAACAAAAATGTTAATGATTTCTTTCTCCTTTGCTTAGATATCATTGGCCTCGCCTAGGTTCTTTAGGCAAATTGGATAGAAGCAAATCTAAAGTCACTTAGGAAGTGTGTGATATTTTTCAGGATTTTAAAGAGAAATCAAAGACATAAATATTTTAGGGTTTATGGGTTATATGATCATTGTGACAATTATTCAAATTTACCATTGTTGTTCCAAAGCTATGATATGCAAATAAATCTTTTTTTGCAAAGTGAGCAGACTTGATCCTCCCACCAGAGTTTACTGGCTCTCATTTTTTTTTTTTTAAATACCAGCCTGTCTACCAAGAATCTAATTATTTGACTAAACAATTTTATTAAAACTGCATTTAGACCCTGTTCCGATTACCAGGGGTCTCTGTGGGTTTTCTCTGCAAAAGTAAGATATGGTATGGAAGGTAGTGATCGAACACACATTTCAAGCTCACCAGTAGTGCAAAGGTCAGGCTAGGTTGGGTTGCCTGTTAATCTCCCCTCCTCTCAAATCAGAATTGCTCTAACCTCTGACCTTGCTTGACACAAGCATGTTTCTATCCTTGACCTCTTCCTGTGTTTAGGTTTATTTCCAATTCTAGATGATACCCACGCTCACAAGCCATTCACTCCAGATTTTTAAATTTTACTATCTAGTGTATGTGCACACGTACACAGAAGCCAGTGCCCTCCCAGGGCAGAAGAGGATGTCAGATCCTCTGGAACTCGACTGTGAACCACTTCATGTGGGTGTTGGGAACTGAACTCTATTCCTCTGAAAGAGCAGCAAGTGATCTTCACCACCGAGCCACCCCACCCTGTTTATCTGTCTGTGGCCATTGAAACCACAGAGCTGAAAATGTCCTGCAGTTAATTCCTTTGTAGAGCAAACATAGTAAAAACTACTTAGTGGCTGAGTGAGAATGTGTGGCCTGATTTGTGGTCTCTGTTTACCCTAGCCATGGGAGCTGAAGCATCTTTTTTTTTTTTTTTTTCATCTTTTGTACTAAAGCTTTGGACCTAAAATTATTCTATGAGAGAAACATATCTAATAGTCTTAATACTTTGAAGACTGATATTGTAAATGTCAGTCACTCTTCTTGATAAATAATTTATAGGGACTTTCTTTTTTTTTTAATATGAGAAGTTATTGTCCTAAGAAACTAAGACTTTTCCCTTGTCACCTTTATTTCTAATGGTAAGCTAGCATTTTTTTTTTTTTATAGAGAGAGCTAACATATAGAAGAAACTTGGGGAAATTTAGAAAATTATAAATAAGAACAGTGAGCCACTCACCGTTCAGTTGCTCAGAGAGAATGGTCACTAACACATTTGTGACTTTTCTTGTGATACCTCTCTGTGCATTTGTGCTTATATAGATTAGCTATAAAAGTTTCACATGCAGTATGAAATAGCTTTAAAGCCTGTTTACTAAAGAACATAAAATGTGTGTGTGGAGGGGGTTAATAGATAAACTCAGCATTAACTTTAATAGCTCTTTGCCATTCTACAGTATAGATACTCTTATTGTAATCTCTGTGGACAATTCCTTGATGCTGAGTTTGAAGTGCTCAGTACTTTTCTGTCAGTATCATCATCATTATCATCATCATCATCATCATCATCATCATCATCATCATCATTATTATTGTTATAGCACAACTAAGGTAAACATTCTTGTGTGTGTCTCACTGTCATGCCTGAGTTTCTCTTCAAGATAAATTTCTGTGCTATCTGCAGGGTTAGTGTGTATGTCCATCCATTTTTATGCATAATCTTGGTACTGGGGAGTTTTTATTCAATTATAATCTCCCCAAAGTTAATAAGACTATCCCACTTCATCACCAATACTGGAATTATCTCCCTCTGTGTGTGTGTGTGCATGTACATGTGTGTGTATGTGCTAGAGGAGGATGTTGGGTGTGCTGCTCTATCCCTCTCTGCCTTACTCCCTTGACACAGGGTCTCCAGTAATCTCCTGTTTCTGCCTCATAGCTCTAGGGTTATGGGTGCGCACGGCTGTATTTGGCTTTTTACTTGGATGCTGGAATCCAAACTCAAGCCCTCATGCTTGCACAGCAAGTGTTCTTACCCACTGAGCCATGTCTCCACCCAGACAATTGTTTTTTCTGGGTGTTTGAGATAAGACCTCTGCAGAGTCCTGCCTGCCCTGGAACTCACCATGTAGAGCAGGATGGCCTCAAACTCAGAGATCCTCTTACTTCTACCTCCCTAGTGCTGGGATTAAAGGAATGCACCACCGTGTCTGGTACCATATTGGACAATTTCTAAATAGATCAGTTATCAGAATCTTAGCATCTTTTATGATTGTCAGCACTAAAACTTTAAACTAAAACACCTGTGTAACTCTCACTTAGTGCCAAGAGACTCTACTAGGTACTTTCATGAGTATGAACTGATTTGATATTTTTAATGACCCAATGAAGCAGGTACTATTACTACTCTTAGTTTGTAGGTGAGGAAGCTGTTTCCAGGTGATTGAAAGTCATCAGTCTAGTACACAGAAAGCCAGTACCTAAGCCTTTCTGGCATTAAGCTTCTGAATCCATCCTCCTCACCATCATGCCCTCCTTCCTTTCAGAGAAAAAGCTTAGCTTGCAATGAAACAAGCCTGGGCACCAGGGTGAGAGAGACTAGACGCTCAATTTCAACTCATTGAAAAATAAAAAATGCTACACGACTGGGTTTTGTAGGTACCATGAGCGTTGTCAGCTTTAAGTAAAAGAGGTCACTGTCGATCAGAGCAATGAACTGCAGCAATCAGTTGCCTGATCTTGGTTTTTGTCTTTTTTTTTTTTTTTTTTTCTTTAGATTGTATCAAGGTCAGAAAAGATCAAAAGAAGCTTTGCACTACTATCAAAAGGCTCTGGAGTACACTGAGATTGTCAAAGACGAGAAAAGTCTCGAGTGTGTGCCCGTTCTGAGGGAACTGGCGGGCGTGGAGCAAGCCCTGGGACTCCACGATGCTGCCATCAATCACTTCTCACAGGTAAGGCGGGCGCAGTGTCCCGGCCACCACAGCAGTGCTGGACCCACAGCTTCTCAGAAGCACGGCCACCGTGGCAGCTCTGAAAACGCTGGCCTTGTCATTTGCTGAAGATAACTAAAACACTTGGTCAGCGTAGAGGTTCAGAGAAGATTTTCTTATTAGAAAGCTAAGCAGATGAGTGCTGGGCCCCAGTCCCTGCTGCTAACTGCAAGCAGCCTAAAACTCTCTATTTTTCACATTACATATAGAACTCAAGTACTGTTCCCAAGTGAGGTTGGGGTTTTTTTGGTTTGCTTTTTTTTTTTTTTTTAATCTTTATGAGATTATTTAGAATTTGTGCTATGAAACTGATCAGTACTTCTTTTGAAAAAAGTATACTTTTTAAAAAAATTATGTGTGCAGATACCTCTCTGTGTGTATGCACTCGTGTATGTGGGCGCCCTCAGAAGCGAGAGGTATCAGATTCCCTGGAGCTAAAGTTATGAGCAGTTGTGAGCCACCTGACATGGGTGCTGGGACCAAACTCAGGTCCTCTGCAAGAGCAATATGCTCGTGTAACTGCCAAGCCATCTTCAGCCCATCTTCAGCCCATCTTCAGCCCTAGGACTAGCTAGGCCTTTTATTTACACTCTTAATTCTTTGTCTGAAGACTTTTTAATATTATTTTTAAAGATTTATTTATTTATTATGTATACCATGTTCTGCCTTTTTGCCAGAAGAGGGCACCAGATCTCACTGTAGATGGTTTGGAGCCACCATGTGGTTGCCGAGAACTGAACTCAGGAACCTCTGGAAGAACGGCCAGTGTTCTTAACCTCTGAGCCATCTCTCCAGCCCTGCCTGGAGACTTTTAAAGGTGTACTGTTAGTCGTTCTACTTCATCATTATGAGATTCCTCATCATGTGTGTCATTCAAACTCCCCAAAGAAAGGAGAATATGCACAATTGCTACAAAGAGAATGTGTAGCAAAGAAGAGAGAGAGAAAAAAAAAGAGAGGGAGGAAAGGAGAGGGAAAGAGACTTTGAAGAAACTGGTTTACATGCTTTGGGCACTAGCAAGCCTGATATCCCCAGGATAGTCCAGAAGGGCTGGAAATATGGACAGGATTTCTCTGCTACTTTCTTCTTAGAAATTACAGCATGTTTGCTCTTCAGGTCAACTGATTGTCTGAGGATCATTCATATGATTGACAGTAATCTCCTTTGCTTAAAGCTGACAATGATAACTGTATCTATGAGATACAATCTTGCAACATCTAGGCTGGTGTTTGACTAAACAACTGGACAGCAGAGCCACACTGACGTTAACCATCACTGGGAGCCAGACAACTTTGTATCATACCATCGCTCAAAGCACCTTTTTACGTTTTCCCAGCAATTTAAAATATATACTACCCCATTCCTGTTATTTCATGAGATAATAATGACATGGTACTAAGAATACATCATAACTGTGTCTTTTAAACTTTGTCTGACAATGTATCCTCCCACTCCCAGTGTGTTGGAGTACCTCAATCTCTCCCTTTATCTAGATCATCTGTTTTAATCATTAATACTACTGTGTAACATATTGTTTCCAGTTTATAGATAAGGAAGACAAGAAAGAGTGATGTGCCCAGAAATACATACCTCCAAAAAGGCATCGCTCAGATTCAATACCTGATATTGAAGTAGACTGGGGAGGTTGTGTGAGGCATGGAAGGGAAGAAAGCACTTCGGAGGCTACTGAAATAGCAAAAGAAGATCATGAGGTGGTTGTGAAGTAGGATGAAGAAACTGGGATGGAGAAAAGTATGTGATTTGAGACAAGTGTGGGAGGTGACATAGATAGGACACAGAAACTATATATGGTGGGACAGGAGGAAAATTGAAGTCGATTCTCGGATTTCCAGGAGTACAGACCGCTGCTGCGATGCTTCTGCTATTTCCTGTGGAGGGCCAGGGTTAGCGGGTGAGGCGGGTGAGGTTGGATAATGAGTCTGTGATGTCTGTGAGGCAGAAAAGTGCAAGTGACAGCCAGGCAAGTTGGAGATTTCGGGGCAGGAGTTATAGGACAGACCCACCTGGGCTTGGCGGTTGTCTTGGGAGAGGATGGCTCACTTAGTACCAGCTTCTAAAAGTACTGGAAGGTGAGGAAGACTAGCCCAAAAGACCTTAATAAAAGGGGAGACAAAAGATCGGCCACTCAAGTATGATGTCATGCCCAGGGCCATAAGGGTGATGACAACAGTAGATGAACGTCATTCTGATAAGATCTTGAAAACCGTACCTGTAAGGAGCGTCAGCTTCCTCCTGACAGCAGTTGGAAGTTTTCATGCAGGGAGACTGACATCAAATTATCAGTCTGAAAGGATATAAGCAGGGGAATGGCTTGTAGGGGACCACAGCAGTCTAGGCCTGAATTCAGGAGGCCTGTGAAAATGGACAGATGTGGACAGACTTGAAAGATGGGAGCAGTAGGGCTGAATGACAAGGCCGGGTGGCAGTCTCTGCAGGTAAGCAAAAGAGATAGAGTTGAGTTTTATAAGGTTTCTGGCTAGTTCACTGTGGTGGTGTGGCATCGCTTATTGACTGTAGGAACTCTGGCTGGTATGTGATTCTCTGTGTCAGTATCAATAATTCTTGATATTCTTTTGTAAAAATTATATGCTTTAGTCAGCTTCCAGAAGTGAATCTGCTGAAAGGAAGAATGTGAATATTTCCTAATCTTGATTCATATTGACATCCTGCCAAAGATTTATTTTTATTTATTGTTTGTTGTTTCGATTTATTTGGTCATTAGAGTGGCATTATTAGAACACGTTATTAGAACCCAGTCCCACAGCTTGCAGCAGGGCTCACTTCTAGTTCTGTGGCTCTGATTCTATGTAAAGATAGGCACCCACCAGCAGATACATACAGAACAGTCTAACTGCTGTAACAGTCCTCCCTGCCCTTCTGTTTCATCCTCCTCTCCATGAACCTCTGGCAACCACTAAGCACTATAGTTTTGCCTCTTCCGGAATGCCACATAGTCGGAATCATAATAGTTTGTGTTCAGACTGGCTTCTTCACGTTTCAACACACGTTTATGCTTCCTCTTTGCGTTTTCATGACTTCACGCTTTTCATTTTAGCATTGAATCTTTTATTTACCCATTCACCTACGAAAGAGCATCTGGATTAATCTGTCTTTCCCATTTCTGTACAACACTGCTCTACAGAGGTCCTGAAGGTTGCTGTAAGGGTATACGTTTCCCACACTCTTGGGTATATGCTAGATCATAGCGTTTTGTAAGACACCGCCACAATGCCTTCAGAGAGCAGCCACATGGGTTTATGTTCCTGCCGGACATGGTGACAATCTTTGTTTCCTGCATCCTCTCAGAACTCAGACACAGAAAGCAGAAACACGGGGGGAGGGGCCATATTCCCACTTAATGCACTCTTCGTATTACATGAGAAGATAGTTACTAGCTTTATGGGGACAGAGACCAGATTTCTTTAAATACCATGCCACCTGTAACCATATACACGTAACTTTACGCACAGATGAGCATGCAACACCCTAAAATTAAGTTAAAATGCAGACTGTTCTGTTACTTTATAGTTTCTCTTGGACTTTTCAAAGTCTCCAATAATGAATCAAAATGTTGTTTGGAGATGTCATTGCCCTGTGTATAGCCACTTTAGTAGGTACTACTGGCGATATGATATGATATGATATGATATGATATGATATGATATGATATGATATGATAT